GCTAGTTCATCAGTCACAGCTTCATGGTGACAGTTTAGGTTTTTACCTTAATCACTAGTAAAAATTCCACAACACACAATTATTGTATCAGGATATTTATTCCAATCTGTATAGAAAAAAAACAAAACACTGACAAGACAACAGCAATAATATGTACAATGTTGACAGACAACACAGAGTGTATATATACAGTAGTAATTAGATGGACTATCCAGCTAAGTGAGTTCAGAAAACGCATAGGTGATGTCAAAAACGTACAACTCTAAAATAGAATTTAGAAAAAAAAACTGCAAAATTTGTTATCAGACCTTAAAACACTTAAAAGGTTTATCATATCTAAATCTATTTTTTCCATAAAAAGGGGAGGCACTAGACTGATCCACACCTGATATTAATTCTGCTCATTTCTTGAAGCCTCTTCCCTCCAGCTGCTCTCATTGTAAGGTAAGAGATTATGTAGCCCAAGGGACGAGGCTGGATGTCAATTTAACCAACCAGCATCTACCGAAATATCAGGACGGGGTAAGTTGAAGATTTACTTTTGTATTCTTGTAAATTCTTTTACATTGTTTTTAAAAAATGTTTAAAGTAGTTTTTATCACCCACAAGGACAATATCATCCTAATACAGAGTGGATGAGTAAGAATAAATAGCAATGGCTAAAACAAAGCCTAAAATAATTTTTAGATTTTAAGATACACAAATGTCTTTGTTTAATGGAAACTCTTACAAAAGGCTGATAAGATCTTTCTGCAATGGTAAAAACTAATTTATGAACATAGCTGCCTTCACCTTGGATCAAGAAATTTATGACCCAATAAACAGTGGTTCTGATGGGGAGAACAGTACTTAATACATTTCATCATCAGAGTCTTCTAGGTATTTGACAGGTTTCTTGGCACGGGCTGTCCGGGAACGCACGGGTGCACTGCCAACATCTTCTGAATCTGAAGTTGTGAGGTCTATAGGGAAGTTGCCAACCATTCCCTTTGGCTTCTAGAATGAGGACAAAAAGACATTGATATATCTCACATGTTAATTATCATCTAAACCCAAAAAACTAGAATGTATTACAGCTCATCAGTGCCTAGATGTGGTGACTGCATTAGTCTTTTTTTTTTCCTCCTGGGCTAGGGATCCAGCCAGTAACACTTCCTTGTTCACTCATGATAATTCATGTATGGAGAAGCAGCACTGTCATCCCAGAGTAGTACTCTGGACTACAGATATATTCTCACCTCCATTACATAGGATTGTGTTTTGGAGTTCACAGAAGATGGCTGGGAAAGTCAATAGTGTTTAAAATATTAATTTAGTGAACAAAAGTTACAAGGACACAAATTCTGCCTTGATCAACAGTTATTTACTTCTTGCAGAAAATGTTAAAAACCTGAAAAAAAAATGCAACCACCTCATCTATGGCTTAAAAATGCCAGTTATACTAGTTTTTTTTTTTAATGCCTGTAAAAAAAAAAAAAAAAAAAAAAAAAAAAAATGGCCCACGATGTGTGAAGGAGAGTTTACAGGCAGGGGGGGAAAAAAACAAAAAACCCCGCACCCCAAAAGGTGCATTTGGAGAGGAGCTTTTGAGCATAGCGGGTGCCTAGACATACTAGCCCTGACTAGACTACCAAAGGATGAAGGTTTTCATGCATCACCATTTCATTACCCCTTGTAAATTGTTGATGACATTTTGCATAAAGTATACAGTCACCTTTAGCATATCAGAATATTACGATTTCCAGCAAACACCTTGTTTGGCCGATTTTTCCTACCCAGCTATTTAATTCTGAAATTCTTACCTTGGCAGTTGTGCTTTTCTGCTTTGGCCCAGAGTCGGAGTCAGAATCAGAGTTCTTCCTCTTACGTGACTTAGCAGTCTTTTTGGGAGGAGCGATGTCATCATCCGAGTCATCTGCAAGTCTTGCTGCAGCAGTTTTGGAAGTCTGGGGCTTGGACAAAGCTTCCAAGATGGATGGCTGCTTATCTGGAAAGAGACCACAAGAAACTCATTCCCACACTTGCAGAGAATTGGTACAAGTATTCTCTGGTATCTCCTATTGATCCAAATTTAATTTAGAAAGAATGGTCTGCTTATTGTAAATACCAAATACTAATTTTTCCTAAATCCTCTATCGCTTGACTTTAACTTGTACTTGTCAAAAGCTTAAGTTACCAGCATGGAAAGTACGATTGTGCTGTGTGTTCTATGCTTACCCCACCCAGGTCATTACAAGCCTCTATTGGTGCCAAATACAAGGACTAAAAAAGGTCAACCAAGCGCCTGAACAGCCGATATAGAAGGGATTAAATTCAAAGTCGCCCAGCATTAATATTGGCTACCATATGATCACTGATATGGTAATGGGTATGGGCACCGAAACTCACACTCGATACATATGTACATAGGGAAAAGCGTTCCCTGAACAAAGATAGTTTCATATGGGACAATGCAGCTTTATCAAAGGGCTTTTATTAGAAAAAACAAAACAAATGTGCATTGCATGAGTATACACACAGAAGCTGAGCACACCACCACAACTTCACCAAACTAAAGACAACGTTGTCTCGTCACCTTAGCAGCTGCTCATACAACCTCCAACATACACACTTAGGGGAAGGGGGCGAGAAAGGCTAAAGGTGCAACTTGGGAACATATGGGGCAAGAACCCATGTATGGAATGTAAGAGTTGGATAATTGATAAGCCCAGTGGATACCTAAGGGATGGTGACAACGTTGTCTTTAGTTTGAAGTTAGGGTGGTGGTGTGCTCAGATTCTGTGTATATACTTGTGCAGTACAAATTTATTTTGTTTTTTTCTAATAAAAGCCTTTTGATAAAGCTGCATGAAACTATCTTTGTTTGGGGAACACTTTTCCCTATGCACATATCTATTGGTGCCAAAGCCTTTCCCTTCTCAGGATGTACATCAATATATAAAAGACATTCTCCAGCAAGCTTGTGTTACAGGAATGTTTTCTGAGAAAATGATGGAGGCCCCACATTGCCAACCTTCTGAAATGGATTGTTGTCTGGCACTTCATTACTCTCAGATTATGACATGAAACAAGCTTCCAGAACAGGAAAATCCGAGTGAACTGTTAATTGGCATGATCATACGAGTCAGTGACCAAGAACTCAAGCCACTGGATAATATATTACAGGATTCTTTTCACATCCATATGTTGGAAAATTAATTGTTTACACAGGACAAAACTATGGCTCTTCATTCCCACATACCCTTCTTGGTGGCAGTGCTGTCCGTTTTCTTGGCTCTTTTCTTGGGAGCGGCCTTCTCACCGGCAGGCTTTGCCGGTTTCTCTTTGGCAGGCTTTGCCGGTTTCTCTTTGGCAGCCTTTACAGGCTTCTCTTTTGCTGGTTTCTTGGCAGCTGGGATGGCTGGAGGCACGGACACAGGCCAATCATCATCATCTGAATTAGTGGCACCTGCTAAGACATGGTTTAAATACCTCATAAAGAAACAGAAGCGTTTATTGCATTCTTGATGAGTGACTGAACACATAAGAACCAATTCATGAAAGGGATGAGCAGTATTTTCCAATGAAAATCAAAAAAAGTTTGAGGAAATCACGAGGATCAATGCACGGAAAAATGATTTTCAAATTGAGTCAAATCATTGACACACAGATGTGATTTTAACAATTTTACTGTCATTTCTCACACACTACTGAACAGCTTATTGCTTCCTAAATTCCTCTAGGTTAGAAATGATATAAAATTGCAAGAATTAAACTCTCAGCACCTTCACAGGGGGCCCTGTACTAGATCACACTACAATGACTTTTTCAGAGATTTATAACCCCCATTTTCACGTAAATGTCTATACCTGTTGGGGCTGGTTCTGGTTCCTTGTCAGGACTGGGATCCTTCTTGGCAGGTGCTTCCTTGTCAGGACTGGGATCCTTCTTGGCAGGTGCTTCCTTGTCAGGACTGGGATCCTTCTTGGCAGGTGCTTTAGGCAGTTCTGTTTCTTTTGAAGAAGTTTGTTTCTTCTTACTAGTTTTAGCTGGTGGCTCTTTGTCCAGACTGGCCTCCTTAACACCCCTAAATAAGAGGAAAATACATTTACTTACAGTAAAACCTTCAATATACAACATGCTGCTATTGCCCATAAACCACTGTGGTGCCCCAGTAAAAGGCAAACAGGTTTTACGCCTCCCCTACCATACACCCGTCTAGTTTGCACTCCTCCCAGATTGCCCACTGAAAAGAAGAGGAATGAACTGGTCATTTGCGTATATGAAGGAGCATACAACTCACCCCATTTCCTCCCAGGATGCAGAGCGTGGCAGCTGCCAATCCTTCGGGTTATCACACAACAACACTGACAAAATTTGTTTCGAAACCAAGCACTCATTTAAGTGAGCCTGATCTGCACTATGGTAGCAAAGCACAGGGCACTATACATTTTATACCATGCCAACTATCACGTTAGCAGCCCATCTTCTGAAGCTACAGTTTAGGCATTTAATAATTAGAGAGATGCATTCATTGTGCCATTTTGTTTTTATGAAGTACCAAAATGTGACTGTGTTCACCTCTTGCAGTCTACTGTACAGCAGAGCTTGGAAGAGAGGGGAAGCAGCACAGGGCCATATCAGCTGTGCTGGAGAGAATGAAGCATGCTGATAAGAGCGCAGAATGACAGAAGATTACTGTGCTGCTTCTCCATCTTGCCAAAGGGGGTAGGGACCTGTACATGAAACTGCAGTAGTGAAAGATCAGGTCCCCTCCCCCACTAAAGATGGCTGTACGGTGTGTCAGCCATGTCAAACGCTGGACTGCGTAGACCAATATAAATCATTTGGCAGGTGAAGCCCCTTTATATGCATTTCATCAGTATTTATGCCCGAGTCCCACTTTTTCTGGATTAAGAAAACCTTTTAATTCACAGCACATCAAACAAGGCAACCCTTTCAGATTCGTAATTGAAAGTGCAAAGAACTATGGCAATATAAATTCTGAAAACGACTACTCACTTGGAGGAAGCTTTTGACTTGCGTGCTGGCTTAGAAACTACAAAGGATTCTTCATCGTCGGACTCCCCACTTGGGTCAAACACATCACTATCAACATCACTGTCCTTGTTAGAGCCGCCAGCATCCTCTTCCTCATCAGAATCCAATACATATTTTACTTGAGCTGGAGAGGAAATGAATACGGCATATTACAATACATGCAAGTGTTCACCTTGTAGAAGGAGCCCACAAACCCGGACTGACTGGCTGCAGCAGTTCACAGGCGGCCCTGGTCATGGGAGCAATTTAGCAGGAATCATAATGGTAACCAAAAACTTGAAACACAAAAGACATTTCCAATAACAAAGCTTTTCTGTACTGTGGAAGAGTTGAAGGTCTACTCTAGTCCTATATGCCACAGTACTGTTCAGGGGTTATGTTGCATTTAACCTCCCTAGAGGTCTGATTATGTCCATATTTCTGTGCTCAAAGCGGTACATTTTTTTGCATGGAAATATGTATTTTTTTTTATTGTAGGCCTGTAATTTTTAGGAATCACTCACTGAAATCTGTCCAAACAAGAGTCTAGTAAACATCCCGAGTATGATAAAACTTGAAACACGAAATCATAAATTATAATTTAATAATCATAAAAAATATAAAAAATAATATAATACATTTAATTCAACAACATAATCAAACCAAAAACAATGAAATTTGAAATATAGCGCCAAGTTCGCACATCACTGAGCAAAGTCGCAAAATCGTTTTCAGTGTCTGATGAGTGATAATGATTCATGGGGAAATTCATCAATTCTGCAAGTGGTTCTGATTTACTGTTCTCTAGCTGGTCTAAAACAGATTTTGACCTAAAGGGACGCTTTTTGGACGCCATGGACGTTTCTAAGTTTCCAGGCAGAAAGAACAGACAAAATGCAGGCAGGGCACAGGACAAAGCACTCGGGACAAAATGTATGTGAAATGGTTTGATACAGTAATGTTTTACTATGTAATATTTGTTTATTAGAAAATAACAGTTTTTAAAATTTTCAATTTTGCCGCAGGTTCCGGCCCCCGTATGTCCTGACGCTCGCAGGGACTGGAACACAGGGGCCGGAGGAGATGGCCGGGTACGCTGCAGAGGACGCATCGCGGGAGCGAAGGACAAGGTAAGCGCTGCAGGGAATCCCTGAGCAACGCTGCACGGTAAGCCCGAGTGTAGCTCGGTGTTACCGCTTTTGGTACTGAAACTTTACCCCGAGCTACACTCGGGAATATCGCCAGGGAGGTTAATTTGGTGTCGGACTGAGTGAGCTATGTCCTCTGTCCTCAATAGCCTTTGAAAACCATATTTTGGCCTGTCCTTGCTCTACCGAGAGCTTCACCTTGCCTACTTGGCACCACAAAACACTAGGAAAGCCTTCACCTTTGGGATCTATGCAATCTCCTTTCCATTGCTGGAAACAGCAAAGCACAGACTTTCCCTTAGAAAGGATGGATATTGTAGTGCACATATGCAGGCACCCAGCATGCTGCACAGTGAAGACCTTGGTGGAGGGGTACTTGTCCCAAGTACATGGCTTTCAAGGGCTGTTGAGGACCTTCCAAATCACACAAAGTATATTTAAAGCAAAAAAAAAAAAAAAAAAATCTAAAAATGTTGGAGTTGGGAGGAAGATTAGAACTGCGGTCAGGATTTTTTCCCAACTGTCTGGCCAAGGTGACTTCCCCTTTCCATTGGAAGACTTCCTTACTATACCCGATACCTGTTATAGTAACTCAGAATTTTGGATGTAATTGCACTTGCATTCCTGGCAACATTGGGGACAACAGCAGCAATAAAAACATGACAGTGAGCAGCCCCCCCCCCACTAATCCAAATAAAGTTCTGCTTTTTCCCTAGCACTGAACAATTAAATTAAAAGCAGAAGTGTCACATTTGCTTCAGAATTCTGGGTGCCCTTTCAATCTCACCTCGCATCAACAATTTCATGGCAGTTGCCATGTTACGGACTAAACCATCATGTAAATAAACTCAAGCGTGTGGATGATGTCACAACATTGCCATTCATCAAAATAGCAGTAGTAGTTATCCACACATAGCTCCAGGATTGTCATGTCTGCAGGCTATTGCAGATTATATATATATGGCCTGTGTATTGCCTTACAATATACTTTGGATACTGACGTTTCAGAGCCTGGACTATTTCTATACTGCCGGGATGGTACTGCCATGTTGTGCCTAATTAGTACATTACTGGATGTTCACCATACATGGTGCAGATATGGACCTATGGAACGTGAGTGCATCTCTTATGTTTAAATGTGCATTAAAAGTTTTAAAGGGTAAAGCACTATTGTGAGCTTTTGTTTAATGAGGAACATGGCTGAGCTTGAGGCAGTATCCTTTGGAGCTATTCAACTATTTGATCTTCAGAGTCCATACATTTGGGAATAAAAGTGCAGTCAGACCAAAACATTGTATAATGTGAGGACACACTGCTGGAGGTGAGCAGATATATGGTGGTGGATGTTTTGCACTGGAATTCTGTGACTGATTCACACGGTAGTCATTATCCCAAGGAGGGTTCATGGGAGGACACCAACTTTTGGACTGTAAATAAGTGTAGTGGTTCCTCCTGCGCTAAATGAACTCAACCTAACAAAAGCTGCTAGCACCCCAACCCTATACCTCTAAAGGATAAAAAACACAAATATAATACATATGGTGCAGTGCTAAAAATTAAATACACTTAATACTTACATATAATAAATGAATCAAATAAATGCCAACATATGGATCCCAAATAAGGGAACTTAAAGTACAAAATATAATTAAAGTGCAATAAAGTGAAAACCTAAAGGTGGGTCACAAATACAAACCCTATATGTCGTGAAAAACAACAAACCCAAATTGGGATGATACATACCAATATGTGTGAACAAAGTGAATTCCTTGGAATGGAATAAACTTAAAGTGACAAGTGCCAAAACACAAATAAGTGTACACACTATACACGCAGTGACAAAAAAACCCAATACGCATGTGTAGTGAACCAAACATCAAATATGCAGTGAGGACAATTGTAGTGAAACACTGATCATACAAAAGCAGCAAAATGTCCTATAATGAGTCCAAATATTAGTGCTGTGGGAATTCTTCACACTAAAAAAAAAGACCGTGCTCCACTCTCAACAGGGAACTGGTGTCATGTGGTGTGCACTCCAAAGGAATCCCAAAATGGCTGAGATGCCTGCTCACCTCCAATAAGTGACCCTACGGGTCATCACGCTATTGGATCACACCCGGATCCTATGGTATAAATCTCCTTAATGGCTGATCTCCATATACACAAGGTTCCAATGTGCCAAGTTTGTAATAACCTTCCTGGATCGATTAGGCAGGTAACCTTAACTACCTCCAGCCTACTCACAGAAACTGCCCAGCTCTCAGTGAAAACATGCCCATAAAAGAAGAAAAGATACTTCCATAGTGCAATACTATTTAATACAATTTAATACAGGTAATCAGACCAAAAAGTAGATACACCAGTAGATACACTCACATTTGCGTAGTACTAGTAAGGCACATGTGACTTCATCAGAATAACGTGTGACACGTGATGATGCAACGCGTCGATACGTTACGTGGTGACGTCATTACGCCAGCAGCCATCTTTGTGCACCCAGGATACCTTTGGATACACCCATAGTATGAGGTAGAAATGTCAGATCTGCTAGTTGCCATGGTGCTACACATGTGATCCGTTATGAACCCCTTACTAAATCTACAACTTTTGGTAAAGTAGACCCCAAGGAACTCCACAAAGTACCTGTTACAAGAAATTATTAGTTAAGCCTGTTGGTGGCCATTGACTAAAGTAAAAATCAGGCAATACTAGTAGCTGCGTCCACACCTAATACAATAAAACTTTAAAATCTTACCAGCAGCCCGGCGTGGCTGAACGACACGCGGTATCACTTCTTCTAGTTCAAACTCACTATCAGAGTCCATTTGTTTCTGAGGTTCTTTTTTCATAGGTTTGAATGGAAGAGTCAACTGCTTCTTCCCTTTGGTTTCTTTAGCTTCTTTAGCACCTGTTGTTGAAACAAATCTTTATTAACATGCAAGGACTTGTGATCTCAATAGGAATGTTACAGTACAGCAATATCAGGGCACAAACCTGGTTCTGTCTTCACTTTCTTGGACAGTCTCTCAGCAAGGCTCATACTTTCAGGACTGTTCTCTGGACTTGGACTGACTCCTGGACTATCCCTTGTATCGTCATCATCCCCAAACTCCATCTTCTTGGCAATGTCCTCACTCTAAGAACACATTGCAGTTTTTATTGTACAACCTTAACTAGCTTAGGTCACATTTCATGGTGTCTATACAAAGAACTACATACATCCTGCCACTTTTTTTTTTAGTAGATTGACTGGAGAAAGAAAGACAACAAATATGAAGCAGTATTTTCAAGGTTGTTGCTAAAACAATGGTTTTATGGGTAAATACACAATATTGGACCATTATGAAGCCTATGACATGGTGAAAATGTATATGCTGTGATCTTCCCATACTATCAGATGTATACTGCCTATTTTGAAGAACTAATGGCCAATTATGACAGAAGGCAATGGCCACTAGTATGCAAATGTATAGCATTTATGTCCATATGCAATAAAGCTGCATCTTTGAAAGTGTCTTACGGATGAGCTAAGGGCTAAGCTGCCCATTGTAGCATCATGCTCCAGGCAGGCTGGTCCCTAATACAGGTCATAGAGCCCACAGTAAATCTAGTGGTTGACAATCAGAACCTGACATTTTAAAGAGCAAAACTAAACTCAGACTGGACCTGATCAGCGCTACATCCAAAACTACTGTGATCAGATCCCTGCAATGAACTTCTTTATGAGAGAGCTTGTAATGAATCAGTATTCTGACAATCTACTGGGAAACACTTTGCACACAACAGAAAGTTACTGTAACTGACCTTACTGACTATAGGATCAAACAGAACAGACCTCAGTCTGTCACCTAAAGCAGAGGACTTACCAAAGCTACAAGATTTCCATAGCCATTGTATAGAAGATTACCCGACAGGAAAATATAACTCGCCCTGTCGCCAGAAGCGGGCTCACCTTCCCCGTTCGCCCTTTCGCCAGAAGCGGGCTCACCTTCCCCGTTCGCCCTTTCGCCAGAAGCGGGCTCACCTTCCCCGTTCGCCCTTTCGCCAGAAGCGGGCTCACCTTCCCCGTTCGCCCTTTCGCCAGAAGCGGGCTCACCTTCCCCACCCGCCCTTTCACCAGAAGCGGGCTCACCTTCCCCACCCGCCCTTTCACCAGAAGCAGGCTCACCTTCCCCACCCGCCCTTTCACCAGAAGCAGGCTCACCCATCATCCGCATAAATGAGAAACATGCACCACAGGCAACTCTGCAGCTACACTTGCCATGTATCTTCACACAAGCTGCCCAATAAACCTCCACTCTGTCAGACAAGGAATGGCCTTTTGCCTCTTTTTGAGATAAAGGTGGTGGTTGGGACATAACAAATCATAGGTCTGTTGTAAACATCTGGGCAGGCAAGGAGGAAAAAAACAAAAGCAGAATAGATGAAGTCCAGATTTAGTTTTTGCCACACTTGCATCACAAAAATCCGGTGCATTTTTGAGGTTCAAAAAGGACAGGACTTGATCGCTCAAGATGCAAGTATCCCTCAGGATCCCTCCAATGTTATCTTACCTGTCCAGTATACACTTGTTCAACAGTGTCAAGTCTGATAAAAATGGGACCCCAAAACACATTGGCTTTTTGTGACTTAATCTGAATAAAATTTAATCTGGGCTTTAAACATTGAGCATTTGGTGCTTACCTACTTGGACACCCAGTCGCTATGTCAAGCAAAAGAACTGGCCACCACTCCTGGGAAAGCTGCCTAATGAGATCCATTGCCTCTCAGAGGCTTAAGACTGGATTAGAACATCTACGGCTTTGAGAGATTTATTGTCCCATATATTTCTTTTACTTATCCAGATCCTTAACTCCTTGGCGCCGACGTCTCCTAGCTCTTTAGGGGTTTCGTGATGCCAGGTTTATGGTCAGGCGACCACCGTGATTGGCTGTCATGGCGGTCACATGATTGGCAAACTCCCAACCGTAAGTGGCGATAGGGACCTTTGTGCGGCTCTGGAGAATGTACCGGGAGCACGCTCTCGGCACATCTTTTGTTTACATTGGGTATGAAAATATGCAGCACCGAGGCCCAGCCGCCGAATATTTGTGTGCCCTCTGTGCCAAGGAGTTAAACATCTGACTGCACCAACCTAAAGTCAAATTATTGGCTAAAAATGGACCAATATGCTTGATTTTAACAAGTCACTGAATCATATGAACTACTGACAGATATTTTCTGAAAACCTGTAACTAATACCTTGATTCTCTTTTTAATCTTCTTGGTGGCCTCAACTTTCATAGCTGTTGTAATTCTTGGAATGACACGTCTTCCATGAGGCGATGGAAAGGTCTCCTGATGCTGCAGCTTTTTCATCTGTGGTCTTCCGCTCTTGCCCTTCACCACTTTGCCCTGGATAGCAAAGGCCTCCTCTTCCCTCTGCTTCTCTTCAACACGCTAGAGAGAATAAAAAGGAAGCAAATCAATAACGGAATTTAGCCAAGCAAAAGAGAAGGTAATGAACAATAAATCACTGAAGGAAGCTAAATTACTTAAAAAAAAAAAAAAAAAATTATTCAAGCAATACTTCCAGTTCCTACCTTGCATTACAGAACAATGAGCACCTATGCTTTGCAAGTAATGTGCTTGTATCGTAGATGTACTTTTTTTTGCCTTGCCATACACTTTAAAATCAGACCACAATTCCTACAAATATTCCACATTGCAACCCAGAGCAATACTTTTAGTGGAGGAGGGAGGGCCTGTAACTTTCCTGCTAACCATTATAAACAGGCCTTTTTTGAACACCTGGAGCTGGCTATCATTTTTGCAGGTTCAAAAAAATTAGCATTTATTATTTTGGATGCAGGAGCCTGGAAAGCATTGCTCCAGTAATCAGATCACTGGTACCATACAGGTCTCCTGCAGACCTGTCAGAATATCTGCTTCCTGTACAGGATGAATGGGCATGGAGATATACTGACAGGAAGAATTGAACTACAACAGCGCTCTTCCACAGTACCATGGAAGTTCATTGAGAACTACAAGCCCACAGCCACTAAGGCTGTCAAGGACTTGCTGTAGTTCATTCATTCACAGAACACTGAATGAACGACGGCTGTATGGACAGAGGCCCGCATGGCTGTGCTGTTTTTAAACAGCTAATGTGGGAAATTTCTCCTGTACTTATGTCACAGGGAGGGGGGGAGCAGCGGGCGGAAGCTGCAGCATTGGAAACATGTAACATGTTCCACTCTAAAAACAGGTGAACTTATCCTTTAAAGATGGGCAGCACAGTGGCTTAGTGGTTAACACGTCTGCCTTGCAGTAAATCGGTCATGGGTTCGATTTCCGATCATGGCACCTCCTGCATGGAGTTTGCACGTTCTCCCTGTGCCTGCGTGGGTTTCTTCTGGGTACTCCAGTTTCCTCCCACACTCCAAAGACATGCTGGTAGGTTAATTGGCTCCTGTCTAAATTGGCCCTAGTATGTGTATGTATGAATGTAAGTTAGGGACCTTAGATTGTACACCCCTTGAGGGTTAGGGACTGATGTGAACATACAATATATATGGAAAGCGCTGCGTAAATTGACAGCACTATATAAGTACCTTAAATAAATAAAGAAGCTGCTAGCAGGCAAAGTGGTAGCTCAGCTCTTCTCGTAAGATCTCTGCATAACATTCCAGACTAGATTTAATGGCTGCTTTAAGAAACCTTGAGAACTCTAATGGACAGAAAATGCATCTTACTGGTGCTTTAGATGGTCCCATAAAGATTTTTTAAAAATGGCTGTTAATTACAAAAATAACCCAAAAGGATAGGTTCTGCAAATGGCTCTCTGTAAATATTGAGCTTAAATGCTTTAAAGTGTAGTTACAGCTTTATGGGTTATCCAACTTGACTTACTTCCAACTCATCAATAAAGAGAGCAAGATCACCCTTCCACAAGTCAGAGGGAGATTTCTTCCTAAGATCTTCCAGCTCTGTGATCTGAAATAGATATAAAGCTAGATGTGAGGGGAGAAATATTCCACATGAAAAACAAAGAAAGAAAACATTTTTTTTTTTTATTTATGTGCAAAATCCTATTTTGAAGTACATCACAGGACATCTTGACATCCATTACGATGGCAATATGCTGCCAGTTGCAGGCGACTGGCAGCAGAGGTAAAGCATAAATTAGGGAAAACTGGTTTCATAGCAAACGCTTGAAGGTGCCTGATCCTGGACACAATTCTGTCCAGTTTTGCATGAACCTGGATGCTAGAAGATCCACACCCCTGTCTCCAGCAGCCTCCAGGTTAAAAGCCCACTCCCCTGAATTCAGACCTCTGCTGGGGAAGCCCACCTGCCAATTTACCACACTGTGAAATGTTCTTAGTGATTTCTTAGCTTCCTCAGCCATCAGGGTGTGGCAGGGGAAAGAACATTTCTGTTTGCGATCCAATTGGTCTAAACAGGACTCCAGAAACGTGTTGTAAACAAATAGCTAAAGTAAAATTCCTCCCTTGACACACAAAAACCACACACACACACACACACACACACACACACACACACACACACACACACACACACACACACCCAACCGACTTCCCAAAAGAATTTTTGAAAGGGGAGCTCCAGCTAAGTTCCTCCCTTATCTGATAAGAGGAATTTGGGAACCTTCTCCCCCATTTTCACCACTTCTGTGGTCTGCTGAAAATATTGAGCTGGGAGAGGCAAGAGTATTAACACCCACCAAACTATCACCCTCAATTGGTAGAACCACACCACAGAAGAAAATGGGTTACTGTCTTTTTAGGCCAGTGATCCACTTGGAAAGCAGGAACAGTCTCCCCTAGTGTGCGTACACCAAAGTGCTCTGTGCGCTTAAGGCAGCCGCTCCTCCTCTGCGGAGCACATAGATATAGAGTCCAAAATGACAGCATCAAGAGAGCTCCGCCATACTGTGTCGTGGCCACAGGTGCACTGCACAAGCACTATAGATCCAGGTAGGAGCAGGCAGAAAGCTTAATCCGCCAGATGGTGCCAGTGCTTCTCAACCTGCCTCACATGGAACACTGCTTCTGTGGTGTAGGTCTCCGGCAGCAGCAATGTAAAAGAAAACCCCCTTGGAGGACCGCATAGAGAGAGAAAACAGAGGACATGGTAAACAAAGCTACACCTCAACCCCCCCCTTTCAGTACCCCTATCAGAAGCAGTCACCATTTTACACTACAGAGTCCCCAGGGGGTTCAAACTTCACGCATTGGCACGCCACTAGGGCCTTCAGGGACACAAATGTCTGGCTCAGGATCACCACCTTGGACCATCCATTTGCCAGTCCACCAGGCAATAGAAAACTGCATAGGATCCGGTGCTACACGGCAACAGTTTAGACCATCCCTGCACATACATTTTTGGGGACTGGGTACTGCTTCTCTTGGTCCTACAGCTGTAGGCAACATATCCTAATAGACCAATTCTCCTGTTCCCAACAAGGTTTCCTAAGAAATGCTATCTGAAGAAAAATATAAAAATGGGTATGAAGAGACTGCACACGACCATCACACTGGTAAAAACCTGAGGCTGTGCCTAGCTGGGAGGGGATTACGGTCTTTTTTTTGCCAATGTTCATTATCTGAGAGCAGAAACATAACCCTACAGTGATGGATATGGAGACGCCGTTAGACATACAACAGAGAAATATTGTTATTAATGGAATAAGAATAGCAATGGTATACTAAAGAAGAATGTGAGGAAAAGGTGCAAGGCTGAAGAACAAACAAGTAAAATCACTGAAAACTTGTGTAGATCATAATAAAGGGAAGCAGGGAGAATTTGAACACACAGGCTCTGGCAGCCAGCAGCAATGTCAGTGAGGGGGTGCCAAGCACAGGTAGCCTTTATGTTCCAACACATCCTAGTGCAGATACTGACATTCACAAACTATTTTGGCAAAGCAACTGCAGGGATGGCAAGTACTGTCCACATTTATCCATCCAGTATTCTTTTTGAAAATCTGTAGTGATGCCCATAAATAAGCAGATCTTTGCACAATCTACTTTAATGAATGTCCTCAATCGGTTACATATGTAGTTTTGATACAAGGGATATCCTCCACAGCAGAACCTATTTTTTTACCCATTATGGAGATTAAATCATTGTGGGCAAACAATGTGTAGGAAAAAAACAAATGGAAGGGGCAAAAAAAATCTGCAACGAATACACAAGTGTTTCCCGCTGAACCAGACCTTATTATCTCTCTGCTTGCACAGCTCATCCTTCTTCTCTTTGGTTAGGTACCACATGGGCATGTTAAGGAGATAGTTGAAATCTGGACCGGTATTAGTAGCTTCAGCTTCACCTTCTTCCTCTTCAATCAGCTCTCCAGTTTGCTCCTGTGAGAGGACACAAGTATAGATTAGCTTTCCATTAGGATTGTAGGAAAATGTAACTTTCCAAAAGCCACCCAACGTTAACTCACAGTCCCAGCTTGAAAGCAACAAAAACGCCATAGCAGCTTTTAATTGAAACGCTACCTGTAGCATTTGATGCAACAAACTTGACACAATGTCTACCAAAAGTATTCTACAGATAATATACCGGATACAGAACTATAAATGATGGTATATAGGGCACTCTGGTGTGGTAGACATTCCTGGCACTAATTTCCAGGGGCTGTCAACAAGTTCACTCCATAAATTTCTGTGGTAGCCAAAAAGGCTTAACTACAAAAGTTGAAAAAAATACACCGACCTCCCCCTCCCATTTTGTTTTATGGTTTACAGAAGAGTTAGTTAAGGATTCCATATGGAGGCATCTCTGACCAAGGAAATCCAGGTCCAAAAATTATTGTATGGAAATTACATATACAAAACTTGGCTGAAACTCACATCACCTACTTATTCATTTATTGGGCTAGTAGTAATTTAACAAATTTACTGTTCACTTGATGGAAAACGTGTCTTTCAGAAAGCAGAGTGGCTAAGTGGTTAGCACTTCCGCCTAGCAGCACTAGGGTCATTGGTACAAATCCCAACCAGAGCAGAACTTGCCTGGAGTTCGCATATTCTCCCTGTGCCTGCGTGGGTTTCCTCCGGGTACTCTGGCTTCCTCCCACACCCCAAAGACATACTGATAGGTTAACTGGCTCCTGTCTAAATTGGCCCTAGTATGTGTATATATGTATAAATGAATGTTCGGGACCTTGGATTGTAAGCTCCTTGCGGGCAGGGATTGACGTGAATGGTATATATCTGCGTAAATTGATGGCGCTATATAAGCACCTGTAATAACAAACATTCATAATTTTCTTTTATATACAGTAGCTAGGCATTTGTAATGTCAGGTTTGTTATCAGCCAACTGTTCTTGTGCTTCTGCCAACTGCAGACCCACAACTGCTGAATTGCATCTTTTTTGGACAAATGTTGCAGCCACATGTGTACCAACTACTTTCTCATTTAAGAAAGAAAAGAAAAGAAAAGAAAAAAAAAGAAAGAAAAAAAAAAAAAGTATGCAGTTTTTAAAATCCTTCCTTACTAGTAAAACACCAGAATTCAGCATCAGTGCAGTGTATCCGGTGTGCTGCCATCATTACCTTGAAGCTGTGCAGAGACGGTACATATCTGTACACTTGCACTTGGGTTCACACTGATGCAGTGCAGAATTTGCAGTGGTTTTCTGTGCGAATTCCGCACCGCATCAGAATCGCACCTAGTTCATGCGAACCGATGCGGATGTGTATATTAACACCCTGAATTCGATCCGTAAAACGTGGTGCGATGTGCACAATCGGATCGCATAAGAGTGAATACCCATGCAATCTGATTCTAGTGCGGACCAAAAAAAGGGTCCTGCACCTTTTTGGTGTGGATGCGGTGCGATTTGAGCCATACAAAATGTACGGCTCCAATCACACCGCACACAATTCACATGTAATTTGCACAGGAATGCGGTGCGGTTCCTGTGTGAATCACATGCGATATACCACACGTGTGAACCCGGGCTTAGAGTGCGACCCCAGCACTGTATATGTTAAAAAAATTAAAAGAAGAAAAAAAAAAAAAAAAAAAAAAAAAAAGAAGACCTGGGAACTTTTGCTAGCTGGGCTTTGTTGCTGCAGCCTAGCAGCTTTCCTCCAAGACTGGGGAACATGTTAATACACATTCTTTTTTTCTATTAAGAACCAGCTATCAGTATGCATCCATAGCTCTCTAAATGAATGCTTATGAAATGTTCAGTATATGTACATAAGGAGTTCTTCATGTGCTGACTTTAAATGCTGTACGCCAATTCTTGGTCAGCGAGTAAAGTATACAAACATACAGGTAATACCTTTTCTTGTGTATGCTTCCAGGTTTTCACTGGGTCAGAGTCGTATCCTCGTTGGACTAGCATTTGGATGAGTTCTTTCTTGGGCTTGTTTTCTGGAAAATTGGAAAAGTTTTAGAAAATAGTCCACGACATATAAAAGATTTAGCACAGCTTGTATTGCCATTCTCTTACCAATGACTATTTTGCCCTCAATCTTCTCCAGAATAAATCTAGCCTGGTTACTAAGCTTGGAGGATTCAGCTGTTAGCATGCCCAACAACCAATCCTTCCTGAGTCCATAGTAGCGGAGACGCAGATCAAAGAATTCTCGCAAAATGTCCATCACGGTCTCATATTTCCTCAGGCACCCCGTATGATCAAACAGCACCTAAAAATTCAATACCGTTACAAAAGAACTAGAAACATTATAAATTTAAAACATGTCAAATGATTAGTCCTAATTGTCCAACGTTTTTTTTTTTCTCCATAGAATGACCAAATTGATTCAATCTTTCTGGAAGAACAGCTGATAGGCATGTTGCCCTCCCCGTTGGCTTATGGAAAGTACATGAGACAATGAAGAGACCTAAGCGTGACCAATCTCCTTTAGATTGACAAGAAACTATGTCATGCAATGGCCCAACTGAATACAAATTTAAAGGACTGTTTATGTAGCCTTCAAGGAGATGAATGACAGAGTTGCTCGGGGTGGGGGATTTGATGTGTGCACTTAAAAAAAGGTAAAGCTGAGCTCCGGGCACAAAAAAGAATTCAAATATATTTCTCAATAGCCAAAAAGGATATAAAAACTACTGTGTGTACCAAATGCCTTGTAACCCCAGATACTAACTTGTAAAAGTAGCAATGACCTCACCATGCTGTGCATAGCCTGTGCAGAGAGCAGTGCTATGGAAGGGACCAAGTAGCTACACTTACTGCAAGGCTACCTGCATAAACGTACAGAAAGGAGCCAAGTCCAGTCCCATTGCACAAGGAGAGAGCAGCAGTGACCGGGCACAAAGGCAAGGTTTCACATTGGAATCCTGCATAGTTCTGGAAGAAATACACAAAGGACACCAAGGTCCAAGTATGATTACACACGACTTGTATTTAAACAAGATTTGCTTATCCCAGAGCTCAGCTTTAACAAAGGACACAGGAATATGTCTGAAGTGTTTGATAACTACATAAAACATACATTGTGTTGTATGCACTGATCAGCACCCTAACCAAAAACCACATAAGCTGCCAGAGGCTGATGGCCTGAAAAGTCGAGAGTAAGTGACAGCATGCAAACCTACCATAGAGTTACATGTAAGAGGTGTCTGGAGCTTGAAGACTTTGTGCAGACCGGCTGCCTCGGCCTCCGCCAGCTTTTCCTCAGTCATCTTAATGATGAACTTGACTGTGGTGTCTGTGTGATATTCTTTGTAATCTACAATTAGAGCAGGAGTCTTTTCTGTCCCGTTTAGCATTGGCTCCAGAACCTGTTCCTTGTAGTTCTGCATGAAAGATTCAATATTACAGGTTATAAACCATACAGAAAACTGGGGGGTAAAAAAAAGAAGGGGAATGAATGATGCTATTGGTATTCACCTGTGTCCATGTCCTGACAGGCAGTTCAGAGATTTCAAGAGTAGTTGTGTCAAGGACGGAGATTTCACCATTAATGATGTACTGGTTAGCAGCAAGGTTTTGAATCATTCCCTTAAAGTTCTTGTAGCTTGGGAGCTGTTCAAGAAACAGAACATTTCATATTTCACAGCATAACTGAACAGCAGATGAGCAAACACAAAAGTGCCTCATTTATCAAGATAGGAAAAATGGGGCATTTCCACTATCCAAAACAATTTCTATCTGGAGAGAAATCATAACACCATCACACCCTTTAATATAGAAAGATAGATATGTATATATTATGTCATTGACATGTGGGTATAGACAATTGAGCAATTTGATCATTCAAAACTACAAGCCTCACCATTGCCTGGGGTTCTTCTCCATCCAACATCCTGTGAATGTTGCCCACTATTTCCCGAACATCATAATTTGGGATTTTACAGGACCAGCCTGTACCGATACCCTCTGCGCCGTTCACCAATACGGTGGGGATGATTGGAATGTACCACTCTGGTTCGACCTTTTGGTTGTCATCATAGATGAATTTTAGAACATTGTCATCCATTGGAGGGAATAGCAGGCGGGAAAGTGTGCTGGAAATGAAAGAGGGCAGCATGTAAGAGGTAATGTACAGTACATGCATTATGTGATAAAGCTGTACCATTGCTTCCTCTTCATTCCTTCCAGAAAGCTTACCTAAGCATGGTGAAGATATATCGGGGGCTGGCAGCATCTTTGCCACCATGCAATCTGGTGCCAAACTGTCCAATTGGCTGTAGGAGGTTGATGTTGTTGCTACCCACAAAGTTTTGTGCCAAATTGATAATGGTCATCATCAGTGAGACCTCACCATGATGATATGCCGACATCTCAGCCACTGAACCAGCCAACTGAGCAACCTTCACCTCTCGCTTATCATTCCTCTTGAAACAAGTGAACAGCACTTTTCTCTGCCCGGGCTTCAAACCTAGAGTCAATGTATAGCTTTACTAGGAGTGTCATGAATACATAAAGCACAACCGCTAGACCATAAACACACATACATACCATCAACCAAAGATGGGATGGAACGTTCGTTGTCAGAGTTGGAGAACAAAATTAGTTCTTTGTTAATGAAGTCGTTGTAGGTCAAGTGCTTTGTGGACTTCCCATACAAGAATTCCTGAAGATGGCAAAAAAAAAAAAAAAAAAAAAGCACAAAATAAAGAACTGATAAAAAGGAGGTGTTATAAGAACACTAAAAGCACAACCACAGAACGTGACATACAACTCTCCTAATCAGTTTTCAAACAGACAGCACAGTTTCCAAAATAAATAAAATATTTGGAATGGAGTGTGGCAAGACTCACTGGGCCTGCTGGGAACGCCCTAATCACACCTACTGTTACAGCAGTCAAAGGTAAGCTTTCAAGGCAAGCTTCTGGTGTTACCTGTTCGTGAATAGTTTCTCCATGTATTAGGAATGCTGACTAAAAGGCAGAGAATAAAAATGGTATCAGTTCTGCACCCTAGTGGATTTGTTCATGGGCTTCCAATGCCAGCATGAGGAGTGTAAATGATATCTCTAGGCTCAATCAGAACTACAAAGGCTTAACAAAAGATCAGATAAGGCCAAACCTTGTAATAGAAGATAATCACATTTTTGTACATTGAGCTACACAGGAATTCTTACTGTTGGGTTATGCTGCCACCTACAGGAGGTATTGTGCATCTGCCAGAAAGTCCTTAGGCAAACATATCTTAATTGTGTAGCAAGGCCATATCAGACCGATATAAAAAAAGGGGAGGGGGTGAAATCTGTGTCCATGTCCCTCAACTGATTCCAAGAAAAGTGGTTTTTTTTTTTTATATAAACTTCATCTGCAGCCATATAACCTGACAATTTTAAGATTCCTATATGTACATCAATGGATGAGAAAGAAGTCATGTTCAACAAACTTGAATAGCACAAAACATGTGACTTTTCTTTCCAGCTACAAGAATAAAAATTGAACTGATTAATGTTCTATTTACACTCAACCATGTGGAGACTTACAAAAACATTTAAAAAAAAAAAAAAAACAAAAAAAAAATTATATATATATCTATATATCTATCTATATGGAAACTAAACACTGGTATTAAAAAAAATAAGAAGGGTACACACACGTTTCCTAACAAATGGATGCAATGTGGGAAAGGAGAGGTTCTGGAGCTCACAGAGAATGTTATATCAATAAGATTTAATGAAGAAATAGATTATAGGGCCATTAGGTAGTGGATGTGTATGGATTATTTTGGAGGGTACAGATACTCTTTACAGTCGCTTTAAATTCAAGGACAGCATAGGACGGGAAATACCCTGCTGCCCTGGAAGAGGACTAGGGGAAAATGTTACGTTATCTAGTAATTGATTTCCATTATTCCAGAACTGCAGGCGACTTCTGTATCCTGTACTGTCCTGGAAGAGAACTAGGGAAGAGTAAATTTCGCTCTAAGAGGGGTATTGTAAATCTTACCTCTGGCAAACCATGCAGTTTCCTCTGCCTGCGGTTTTCCATGAAGTTTGTGGTCATCCACCTTCTTCTTGCTAAAGGCCTAAACAGAGTAACAGTGTTATATGTGCTTCATAGCAGCTAAAAAGGCACAAGTAGATAGACCACATACACTGGTGGCCAAAATTGTGGATACACCTTCTGATTTTGTCAGTTTTGGTTGATATCTTTACTTACTCCCTTGTTTTTTCCTTCCATACATCAGCTATTCTATGCAAATGGTAAACAAAATATTTTTTTTAAAGCTAGCTGGTGAAAATGTTGCCAATTTTTGTTTGTATATTATTGTGTATATGTTATATTATTTGGTAAGAATAAAGCATTATGCTGCATAGCAGAGATTCTAGTTGCAATGCCTGAAATTTTATATAAATGTTAGGAAACTATTTTCCATTTTATGTATTTTTTAAATTATATTAGAATTAAATAAATTAAAATAACATTGTGCTGTTTTGACCTAAAATGTACTTAAATAACTATTTGTAGAAATGAATGATGCCATCAATTAAAAAGGTCAGACTGGTCACCAAAGAAAAAAGAGCAACAGCAATAATATTCAGAAATGAAGGTTATGGTTTTCGCAAAATTGCCAGGAAAATGGGTCAAGGAGTTTCTGCATCCGGAGTCCAGAAGCTGTGTGCACGATTTACAAACACCAAAAGTATCGAAACACAGCAAGGCAGAGGAAAGAAAAACGCTACAACACCAAAAACTGACAGAAGAATTGCAAGACTTGCTTTGCAGAATAGAAAATCCTCTGCCAAGGATATCAACAAGGTGTTGTCAGATGGAGGACTGTCAGTGTCTGACCGAACAGTAAGAAGTCGACTTGTTGCTGCTGGATTAAGAGCTCAAATACCAAGAAAAACACATTTTTGAACTGCCAGCAAAGTAAGAAAAGAGTCGAATGCGCGAAGGACCATCAAAATTGGACAACAGAAGATTGGAAAAAAATGATTTGGAGTGATGAAACATGAATTTCTATTTTCGGAAGCAATGGTGTTCAATATGTGAGAAGGTCAGACGAAGAATGCCTTCCTGAGTGCATGACAGCAACAAGGAAACACATTGAAAGCATCATGATACGGAGCTGCATGTCTTGGTATGGTGTTGGACGAATGCAGGTTATTGATGGCATTATTAATGCAGAGTGATACATCAATGAGGTCCTGGAACCAAAGTTGTTCCCATCAATAAGCGATTTAGCAGACAAAGCACAGAATTTACTCTTCAACAGGATGGAGCTCCATGCCATACAGCTCGTAAATGCCTTAAATGGCTCAATGACAAGAAAATTCCTCTGCTTCCCTGGCCTGGAAATAGCCCTGACTTGAATCCCATCAAAATTCTGTGGTCAAGATTGAAACGCATGGTCTCGAGCAAGGATCCAAGCAACAAGCGAGGACTCATTGAGGCTATAATCAATTCCTGGCATCATTTGATCACAGAAGAGGATGTCAAAAGACTTGTAGAGTCAATGTCTAGAAGGTGTCAGGCACTAGTTCAAGCTAACCAAACAAGTTATTGAAAAAACACATTGTGACAAACTTGAAATGATCATTTTTATGCTATATAATTGCCAAGATGCATTATGGTACATTTCCAGCCAAAATTAAATTTATTTAAAAGATTTTTTGTTAAATCATTAATTTACTATATTAAAAATTTTACTCGTGCTATATTTTTAGAGATTTTTATATAAAAAGTACTTTAAACTGAAAAAGTTTGTAAAAATGTAAGGGGTATTCACAATTTTGGCCACCAGTGTAACTACATTCTAGTTTACATGCCGCTGCAAAAACATCCTCTTACCAAGGTGATGGCAGCATCATCTATTGGGCCACTATATTTGAAAGAAATTCGATGTCTCGCCATATCAGCAAAATATTCCTTTGCCTCTTTAGATGTGCTGGTCCCCAGACCTAAAAGAAGAATCAGTCATAAGTAAAGAACATGTAAATTGAACGTCAATGCAGTAACCGTTTTGGAATTAAGGCACAAGGGGAGGGAGGGGGCAATTTCCCCACTTATTGGTCATTTACAAAAACCCCTCTCAACATGATTTGATAGTCCCTTTTGTCGCCTCCTCTAAACTGTACAATTGCACATGACTTTCAGGAGCTCTGAGCAGATTTAAACATTGTATACGGCTAACTATGTTCCATTTTATTATAACAGAC